AAAGCTGGGCGTGCCCACCCACTTGTATAGAGTCTTGTTTAGAAAATGGGAACACAGAGGAATGGCGGATCTATGATGTAACCCAGCCTCCCACAACCTTGATGCGCTTCCACTGTCAGCCGTCCAGTGGTTACTATCCTAACGGTCGCACAGCATTAGATACGATACGTATCGATCGTTGGACGTGCAGGATGACCGGACGAAATGGTGAACCGTCCATGGTCGGGACGTGCTCCTACACTAAGATAGCGAAAACAATCGTGGATCCATCCTAAAACACAACGCGGGCAGAGTCAAGGGATCGATAAGGATCTGATGCTATTCACAGACTCCAATTTTACAATTCAGTGCTGAGTATAAACGAGCGAAGCTAATGCTTCAAAACGGCCATCTGGGGAGTGATCACTGATCACGGTTAGGCCGCGTTCATAGTTCGCGACTCGGGAGATTAGGATAGTAGGCGACAGGATATTAGGATAGTAGTAGAGTAGGAGATTGCGCTGACAAGATTGGATACGTATCGATTGAAATCGCTGGAGAGTAGTAGATTGGGCGACTTCAAGCGAATAGATCAATACATATCTAATCTTGTCAGCGCACTATCCTAATCTACTACTATCCTACTATCGTAATATCGCAATCTACTACTCTCCGGCGATTTCAATCGATACGTATCTAATCTTGTCAGCGCAATCTCCTACTCTACTCTATCCTAATCTACTACTATCCTAATCTCCCCGTCAATACATATGTTTTTCATTGTCGCGTACTATCCTAATCTCCGGAGTCGCGAACTATGAACGCGGCCTTAACGAGAACCCCTCCTCGTCCATCTTGAGGTGAGGAAAAACGTCTGCAGACGAGCTATATGAAGATAGCCGGATCAGTGTGATATGCGTGTCAAACCATTGAATCTATGGGCTACATCATCCGCGTTGGGTGCGATCTCCACGGCTAGCAATGGTAGACGTGACGACCAAAAGGCGGAAGGACCAACGTTGGCGCCTACCAACGCCATACAATCTCTTTTCATGTGCACCTTTTGCTCCAGCAACACTTCATATCTTTCCGACTGGCCTATTCTGACTAGCTACCCCTATGCTCTTTCACTAAGGATTAAAGCTAGCAATTTACCTGGGCCGTTATTGCTTTCAAGGAGATGCAAGCAGTGATAGCAAATTGTTGGTCCCCACCAGACTTGTGTCTGGCAGATCTAGACGCAGCTGCATGAAATGTACCTATGATCGCCAGATCCTTCTTCTTTTGATTTTTTCTGCAATTGGTTTGCTGGGAAAATTAGACCAATAACTGAAGCATATGAAAGCTCTTGTAAGGTTTTACGCGCTTTTACTAACTCGCCAACTCGACAACTCTTTGCGAATTGAGCGGCTTGAGCGCGAAGGTTGTCTGCCACAATGAACACGCAATCGTGTAAAAGTACCACATAGTCTTAGATGACTGGATTAGCGAGGAAGGTAGTGAGTTTGCTTGCAAAGGTGACTCAAACCTTGCCAATCATGGTGTGTGATGGATAAGAGCCAGCGCCACATTTGCCTTTCGGATCGTCAAGTTGCAGAGATGACATTCCGATTCCTCCAAGCCCTTCTTGTGTTACCCATTGGATCTGAAGTCACTGAAAAATTCTATCAATCTTTATTGCTCCAAAGTAATGCTGAACCTTCTTCCCGAGCGATTGCTCTTTAGGGAAATTAGCCGATGTCCAGCTGAACCTCCCATGAATCACTGTGCAAGCCGCCTTGGAGTCGACCGATACCCCTGAATAATGGCGGGATTAGCCAACGGTTCTCGAAATCTCGATTCCTTCATTTCTCAACGGGCTATCGGATTCGGACAAAATAATGACAAACGCGTGAGATGGCAAAGGTCCTGTAAAGGCCGACGAACTCCTTCTTGCATTGCGATGTCGCCATGTGTAGTACCTTTAGGATTGCGCACCTGAAGAAAACACAACAATTGTGATCACGAGCATAGATTGACAAGTGCAATACATTGACAAATGCACTCCCTGCTCCCATGAATTATTGACCATCACTTTCAATAGTAAACACAAACAGTAATAAATAAGACCAATAATAGTTGAGATAGCTCTGGGTTTCCCTCATCACCCAGAAGAGGGCAGCGAATAGAGAAATAGGGAAGGCAGTGATCACCATGGCTGATGGGCGGTGCGGTTTCGATGACGCCTTTGAGTAAAAATGGTGGACTAGTGTTCTCCTGTGCTGAGGGGTGTAGCTAGCACCGCCTTTTAACCCTTTTTCACCAATGACGTTTAATGACGTCATCAAAACTGCACCCACGTCCAGACATTGTGATCACTGCCTTTAAAGGAGTTCTTCACAATTAAGTAACTGCAATCGCTCTCGTAGCACAAGCGAAGGACGCTGTTATACCCTCCCGTCTACTTCTATGAATTGGGTACCTCGCAGGCCACTTGAACTAGATAGCCGAAAGGTGCTTGAGTCTTAATATTCTAAGAGGTTGAAACTCTGTTTTGGAGGTCAGCTAGATTCCATGTATGTAGTTGAGGAAGGCACCAGTCCAAACAACAACCGTATTCCAAGCAGTCGGACAACACCAACCAAAATTTACAACTATCCAAGCCGGCATGCTGGCTACATTTTATATAACTTAATTCCTTTTTTGAAGGGTTTAGAGGAGACGTGGTGGTGCTCAATGGTACGCCAGCGGCGAAAAAAGTAGAGAAATCCGTCAAGAAAACGCAAAACGGGACCCCTTTTTGGCCGTTCTCGGACGTATGAACGAGTTCACCGCAATGCGTTTGGTGGCAGCATGCCAAACCACGCTCCAATCGAGTTGCTCCAGTTGTGCCGCTGCTGGCAACGCAGCTCGTCCAAATCACCAACTAAACTAGTGGGCGGATCGCTTTTGGGGGCGGAGTGCTTTCGAAGTCCTGCTCAGCAACCAGCGCACCTTTCGTCGTGAAAGCGCCACATCTCGCTTCCTTGGCAGCCAAGTAACTGCTTCGTGTGGTGCATATGCTTCCCCGATGCGCTTCCTCCTTATCGTAATCGCTGCCTTTAAATGTATTTTTACCAGTAAACAGTACCGTGAAAATAACCTTGACTAGCGTCGGATAACTAACTAACCTGGACTGGGTCGGACTGCGACGCTACCAAACTAGAATCATGCTAATACTCAGTCCTATTTTTATTACTTTATTAAATACGTGTCCCTTCGCTGCTGCTCCATCGAACAAAGATGTTCTACGGCAACAGAACTATGTTATTCTGCATCATCACATCGGCGCTGTGCAATATGACTCCAAGCCGATGCAAATGAAGTATGTTGTTTGCAAAAGCGCCGCAAATAACAGGAGAACGCGCTGATACGAACGCCGCGAACGTGGCTACAACTTGATCGGCCCACAAAAGTGTTCATTGAAAAGGAGGAGAAGCACCTTTCCACGAACTGTGACAGGAAGTCTCCAATAATGACGTTACTGATGTCGATGTTTTGTTGTTTTCTTCTGATGTAATACTGATGCCTTATGTAAGTCAACACAGCGCACCTAAGCGTGCAGTAAACAAATAAATAAATAATGTATGCACACATCCATTTCTTCAAAAAAATTCATAAATCACCATCAACTACACGAGTCGTTTGGTCAGCTGGTCTCATTTTCTAAAACAACACGACATAGACGGAGCGAGCGATTTTGTCGTTGCTCTATATCACCAGACTGATAATCAGTCTTGGAGCTGCGTTACATGAAAACGTATTTGAGCCAGAGTGGAGAAGCTTCCCTTTCCGTTGCTTAGCATATGTACCCCTCTTGCTCCACCTGCTTGGCATATTAGAACACAGCTAGTTGGAAGTAGCCCCAAAAATCAAATTCCACGGTGGCGACGGTATCTTGAGAGAGCACTTATCATCGCATAGCCTCCTGAATCGAATCCGTTCCTGTTCAAAGGATTGCCTCATGCGTTCGATCAAGTAGTAATTTCCAGAGCGTTTGGGATTCAATTGCCGCCTCCTGCGTAGATATATAATAAAAAACCTGAATGTAAGGCACGGCACATTCAGCTGAAACAGGGTGGCTGTGCTCATATAGGAGAGCCTTGATCGCGCTAACGGGCTGGTTGTTGACGGTTTCCCTGTGAACGAGCTCCGCTGGCGACGTGATACGGCTGTATCGAACTGTCTAGGCAACTCCGTGCTTCTTACCGTCAGCCGTGTGGCTCCCTCGCCCTTCGGACCATTTTGACAGAGAGGCAGAGGCCAGAGCGTCAAACTGAATGACAAGAAACTATGCGACCTGCCAAAGTGGCAAGTCTGTCAATGGTAATGGCTCCGTTATTGCGGGTTTTAACCACTTTCCTCCGATTTTTTTACACTGCGACGCTGCAGCAGCTCTCTTTTTCCAACAGCGAGCCAACTAGAATCAACACCTTGCGTATAAACCTATTCTTGGCTAGATTCAAATTGGCGGACTGTGTGAAGCATTAACCACCTTCCATAGCTGTTTCTTTCCACTAATGTGACTTGAGAAAGACCTTCAGGGTACTAAAGTTATACGAGACTCCTGTAGACGTGCTCCCCTCATGAAGCGCTGAGAGCAAGTGGGTACTGGGACAATTGTATATTCAAATGGCTCAGGAACGGACAAGCTTTTTCGAAGTACTAGTCACTTTTCTGTTCCTATGTTCATAAAAAAAGCAAAAACATTTTCATGACAGTTCTGCTGGGCTTTCTTAGTGACTGAATATTGAATGAACTATAAACTTTACCCTGTATGCTCGTCCTCCACTGGTCAGCCCAACGACTATCTTTTCTGCCGGCACCCCGCTGCTCAACATCCTAGAAATATTTCTCGTTGAACACTTACGCACCATCTTTCCAAAGTGTAGCTACACATTAGTGCTTACTTATCCACTGATCCACTGATCGTATCTTCTAAGGGAATCGAATCAGACGGCAAAAGGGGATCGAGATGACTCACTGAGTAAGAGTCTTCCGATGACTGCAAATCTGGCCTTCATTAGAAGTAAAATTTATTTTGGTAATCGTCTCGTTGAAGACCTCCAAAAAAGACAAGAACCAAAAAGTTGTAGCAAGGAAACCCTAAATGTTGAACTACAGGCAGCTTTCCACTGTCCGGGTCAGGATATGCTTCAACGAAATCGGCCGAACTCCGTGGATTCGCAGGGATAATTCTCCACATCCATCTCGGAGAGATCGCCAACGTTGTCAGAGAGCTCACAGCCGATGGAGTGATTGAAAGAGCCTTAAAATGGCGATCGATTTTGGACTTTGGGTTTTCAGTAAAGAAAGGATAACGTACTGATAGAAAGTGCTGAGCAGTTGGTTGACTCCAATGGCGGTCCTTCCATGCGGACGAATACACCGTCGAAGTGTCTACAAATTTAGAAATATTTGAAGATCAATTATTTAGAACCCATGGTCTTCTGTGAAGATTGCACCTGTTCCCATCATATTCCAACAAAGAATTTGCCATTATGTTGTTTGTTCGCTCTACAGATTCTCCGGCCGAGGAGGTAAAATCGTACGTTCTTTGGTGAAAAAATAGTATCATCTACATCCAGTAAATTCGAAATGCGAGCTAATAAAAAGAAATTTGGATGGGCCTAAAGTAGTCCCATTGGATGGGATTCCCTCCCCTCTTGGCTGCTTAGTATCAACTTTCTCGGCAGGATCGAAACACTAACTTATTCACTTTGTTTATTTATTCATTATTTGTTTACTCATGAAAGTAAGTAGAAAATCTAGTGAGAACCAGGATGAGATCACGACAATTCGGTGACATCGATTTCGATCGTTTACGTATCTCTATTAGCTCTTGTTATTCAGCTTTTTTGAGTGAGATATGCCGTTGCGTGCTGAGTTAATGACCTATGAATTTCCCAGTGTGACACGGTATCGGACTGGCCTGATCGCTTGAACCGTCTCCAGATATCGCCCCCCCCCCCTTTCCTGTCCTCCGTCATTCGATCAAGTAGTCCTTTGGTTAGTTTTGGATGTGATATGGTTTCCCGTCTGAAGTTCACGTCTTCTTAGAGTCATAAAGATGGAAACTCAGGCAGTCAAGAATGCGCTATCACACCCTTTTAGACGCAAAATGAAGGTCTAGCGCACATCCCAAAGGAGCAACGCCACTCATTCTATCCCTCAACAGTTTAAGCGTTCCTCTCAATTCTCATAACCCTAATGCACACTTGACGATAGACGCTCTTCGATGAATCTTACTTCAAGCTAAGACTGCTCCAATAGCTCCCAGCATGAATCGCTCGACTTATTCGCTCATTTCCCCTCTCTTGGCAAATTCTAAAAACACTTCTCCGATTAGCTGGTGTTCCAGGAATGAATTCTCTTGTCTCTTTCCGAGTTTTCGGCGGAAAAATGTTGATTTAGGGCGCCAAAAGAGAGTGGCCTACAGCAGTTCCAATGACATCTTCGCCATTCCCTCCAAAGGCAGTCCTGATTAGCCACGAACGGGTGCGCCAGCAGAACCACGACCTTATTTACTGAAAGTCCGGCTGTGATTTTCCATCGCTCCGCATCTCCAAGCAGAAAGTTGTTCTGCGAAACCTGTACCGAAGTTCGAATAACAGCAGCAATTATTAGGTTGTCTCATAAATAGTGTCGCTTTTTTTCAACCAAAAAATTTTCATCCAAATCCTCATGCTTTTACATCGAGTCATATACCATTCGAAAGAGAATTGTCTGCTCTACAAGATGTTCGTGTTCCTCTTCCATCTATGTTCCAAGGGTTTTCAAATTTTAGGTCTGCGAAATGGGAGGTCCCGCCGACAAAAATTGACCAAACCGACAACTAGCTCTAACTTTATTTTCCCTGCGGAGAAATCAATCAATGATGTACCCTCTACTTACTCATGACCTCTTCTAAACATTCCACTCTTAGGTTGCCGAAAAAGCTTTGCCGTTTTTTTCGAATTGGCTGACCGATAAGCCATAGCAATTTTCAAATTAAATTGTTCCTCGTAAACGCCATTGTTTCATATCGAGTGGTGTTCCTTTTGTGAGCACTTCTTCTGCTCTATTCGCTCATTTGTTTTGTTTTATGTTTGTTGGGAATTAGCTCGAATTTTAGGTGTTTAGGAGTAAGGTGCTTTATCCACGAAAGTGACCGCATTTCTTTGAAAAAATTATCCCTGAGAAGATGAGAAAATCAACCAGGCGTACATTCCTAACTTAGTCATGACTTGTTCTTTAAATTCTACTAGTTTTTCAATGTCTCGGCTATAAAAAAATTTCGACCTCGATCTCAGGTAATGGTGCTCGACCGTCGAGTTCTGGTTGAAAAACCAGGTCTGGAAATGGAACGCGACTTTGTTGGGAAACCTAATAGTGTAATGTTTAGAAGAGGTCATGCATAAGTAGAGGGTACATCATTGATTGATTTCTCCCAAGGGAAGATAAAGTTAGAGATAGTTGTCGGTTTGGTCAATTTTTGTCGGCTGGACCTCCCATTTCGCAGGCCTAAAATTTGAAAACCCTGGAACAGAGGTGGAAGAGGAACATAGCATCTTGTAGAGCAGACAATTCTCTTTCGAATGGTATATGACTCGATGTAAAAGCATGGGGATTTAGATGAAAATTTTTGGTTGAAAAAAAGCGACACTATTTATGAGACAACCTAATATTCGACGTAAGCAAACCAGCCCTTTTGGCACATCGGCTGGGACCGTATGCTGAATGTTGGGGAGGGGATGGGGTCCCCAACGGTCGACGGTTTACTTCAACTCGGTTGGTACGATAGGAGAGTACTGACGCAAGTGGTGCAGCTGGTCCAGTAGCTTCGCCAGAAGGACCGGTCTGCTCACCCTTGGACTAAGCCTAGGAGAGGGGACGGACCCGTCCTCTCTTTAAGGCTTAGTTCTAAGGTAAGCGCCAAATTGTGGCGGTTCTAAGGACCGCGTTGAAGTTGTCCGTCCACCGTCGGGGACACCATCCCCTCCCCAACATTCAGCATACGGTCCCAGCCGATGTGCCAAAAGCAGGGTGAATAACGGTCGAGGAAATCCTCGACCATAGCTCTCTACCATGCGAGAGTAGTGCCGAGAGTGAACATCCGCGCGGAGAGCACAGACGGCACGGCATGGCGAGTGTGAATGTCCGCGCGAGAGATCGTCTCTGATCGGGCAGAGAATCCTCGACGTGCCCGTTAATGGAACTTCCTATAGCATACATCACCCTGGCCAAAGGGATCTGGTTTGCTTACGGTTCTAATATTTCTTACCAACACACAGATACTTAGGTAATCATACAAAGCTGCTGCTAAGAAGCTCGTGCAAACCCACAGTTGTTCATAGAAATGATTGCCATGATGAAAAATACATTGCTCGATTTGTCCCTCTCGAAAATGAGATATATTCCAGTCGCACGCAACAAAAACCTTCAACATGAACATTGGCTGCTCGTGCGGCTTATTTTGCAGGCCCTAATTAGTGCCACAAATTTAAAGTCAATTTCTCTGCAATTCTGGTTGGAAGCCAATTGTGGAGCGCGTCCTAGAAAAAACGATCAACGCCCACTGCCTAGGTCTATTCGTAATCGTGCCTTCCCTTTTTTTTTTTCAAGACGACCCATTTTCATAAAACGAAATACTTTCCTGGTATGGAGAGGGCCAACCCTGTCGAGAGAGGTTTCTTTTGCAGAAAGTCATTACAAAAGAATTATTAGAAAAAAATCGTGGTGTTCCCCGATGTTTTTTGACAGCATTGGCGTCCCCTAGATAGCTATTGTTTGTTATCTAGTTCATGGGTTTGCTCTGAATATGAGCAGACAGAACCAAAATGCGAAGTTCCTATCAAGATAATAACTATCCCACCTCTTTTTCGCTGAGTTGGTAATAAGTTCTGCCGTCCGCCGTGCGTGTCGAACATCGTGAAAGACGTCGTTTGCCGTCATCTGCACTCCCAACAGAAGGGTGGCATGTGGATGCGTATTTCTCAGTCTGAACAACTATTAATAACCTAACTCGGCCAGAGTCAACCCTGCGTTGCGCAGTTCGCAACGGCACGTTGAGAGATCCTCAACGCACGCTGTATGGGCGGAGACACAGACGGCTCGAGCATGCGAGTGTGAATGTTCGCGCGAGAGAACGTGTCTAATCGGCCGTTGAAACTGCGCAACGCAGGGTTGACTCTGCTCTGGCTAAAATACTGCTGAACAGAAAACTGACGCAAATTCCCTTCTTCCAACATTTCAGAAACATACCCCAAGAATTTCCTTAGGTTTCCGGGACTGTTTATTTCGAGGTTGTCACGAGATGTGATGGAACGTAAGGACATATCGGATCGTATTCGAGAAAATCCATAGACGAAGTGGGTGCACGACAAATTACGGAATGAGGAAATGTCGAAGGTTTCCTTCTGCAAAATTCTGACGATAATTTCATTCCTTCTGAGGTAATCAAGTATTGGTTTTAGAAGATGTTCCCTGACCCTTGATGGAACGACGAAGCAATAGAAAGCACACGATGTTGGTTTAGCATCCTCGATCAACAAAAGAAATGTCAGACATCCGAGCACGAGGGATGTCCGTAAAATCATCCTAAATGGGATATAAACAGATTAGACAGAACCCGATGAGAAGCCTTAGCAATTGCGATGCAGCATCGCGAATAACTGCAAATGCGCCTTTATCTCTTGTCGCTCTGATGTTTCCCTCACGGCTTGGGAATTTGTTGAAAGTCGTCTGTCGCAATGAAAACAAAGCAAATTCTTCGAAGATGCGAGCTTAGACTTCGGCGGGATACTGTATCAAAAGAAGTTCATGGCATTTGATGACACAAAAATGACCCTGAATACAAGAAAGATAACGATGCCATCCTAACTTTAATAAATCACCTGAAAGTGCACCATTTTTATGGTTTTGTTCAGCAACATCGCAGCGTTATGAGGAAGTTGTTCCTTTTTCTCATATCACCTGAGGCGAGAGGATTGATTTGATTATGTCTGAGATATTCGCAGAGTCCACGGATGTGAGTGTGTGTAAGCTTTCGCGGTCCCACTTGTGGTGGTTTCCGATCTTCCCTGTAGCTGCTCATCTGCCGTGAAAAGAGATCGAAATCACCACTACACCAAGGAAGTCCCTCAGAAATGCTCCTGTTCCACCAAACGGTTCTTATGCATATTAGTGACCATTAGGGAACCCAACACCATTGTTTTTATTTTCGCTGAACGGTTATAGCAGTACCAAAAAAGAGGCATAAGGTACTGTTAAGGGTTCGATCCCCCGTGGCGACTAAATTTTGCATTTGGGTTGGCGCCTACGGTTTGGTGCCAAATCGCGCTAAATATCAAAATCAGATGTCAAATTCATCGTCAGGACCATTTTGAAGCCAACAAGTGGCCGCCAACCTTGATTGCAAAATTTAGTCGCCGCGGGGATTGAACCATCAAGAGTATTATTCACCACTTTTTTGGTACTACTAAAACCGTTCAGCGAAAACGAAACATGGTTTTGTGGTCCATACATGCGTCCCTACAACATGTACTAAACCGTTTCCAAAAAGCGCACCTTGCCCTGAAAGACCTCCCTTGTAAGGATGAGGTCCACTTCCTGAAGCTTTATTTTTTTTTTTTTTATCTTTTATGTGCTCTCAAAGGCCAAGAACAAATCGACGTGTTAAAACCGTTTGATTCCAATAAGTTTAACAAAGTTTTTGTTAGATTCATGGTTACTAATCATAAACAGAACCTATAAATGACAGCATAACGTAATGTATATAAACCTCATAGCAAATGCTGGAACTCGATCTAAGACGCTTTCCATAGTATCTTCGTTAACTGGAGATTTCCAGTAAAAGTGCAGCCAGACAGATTGTGATTGTAAATTTATTTTTTCAGTAATCCATCCACTTGTATTTTGAGGCAAGTGAGAATTTTTCACCATCTATAATGCCACCTTAATAATTGCCTAGTGGTCGGAAAGTTTCCCTGCCACGACTCTATAGCAAATTTCAAAAAGAGCCAACCCGTAGATACGAGCTATGCACCAACACAGCTCAGCTCTTGCCGCCGAACGTGTGGTGGAATATGTCGATTCCCACATTCCAGAACGGATGAGGTTAGGAAGAGGAATTTGCTGATTGCCTCTCTTAACCCTCCGTTCTTCATTGTTTTTGCGCCCGTTATACGCCGGGGACCTAAGAGCCAGAAGTTCCAAGGGCTAAGTTTGGACTGTGAGGATGGGAGAAGGGCAGTCCTACAGCTCGCGTAAGGTCGCTTTGGTATACCGGGGCAATCGCGATCGTGATGGAGGCTGATGTTCATTCCCCAATATCTGCAACCACGCGGCATCTTTCAGTCACATCTTCTTGACAGCACTCTCCGTCCTTGCATAGCCACATGATCCATCAATGATTGCAGTCCCCAGACCATCCAATTCCTCTAAAAACCTTCTACGCTCGTTGAGTTCCACGCCACTTCCTCATAACGAATTCGCAAAGGATCCACTTCTCATCTTCAGTGCAAGAATCGTGTGCCTCCTCTGAAAAGTGAAAAGAAAAGCGCAGTTGGCCACCCCATTGACAGTGGAAACTCGTGAACTCTATGAGATTCCAACGAATCAAGCTCGCTTCTCTGGTCATATACGCGTCAAAATTAGTACCGACGCGAGTGTCACTGCCTGTGGTGGTATATTAATCCTCCTTCATAGTATCTTCCCCATACTCATATCATAGCTCCACCAGCCCATAAATGGTCACAAGAAACTTCCTGAATTTTTCCGGAAATTCAGGAATTTGCGACACGCGTCATAGAAAAGGGCAACATCACCTATAAGTATCTACTGTCCTGATGCAGGGTTCCCTCTGGAACTGAGCTCGAATTGTGGAGGAAAGGGGGTAGTGCAAGGGTGCATCCTGTCGAGTTGGATTGTAGGGAGCATCTCCCTGGCTCAACATGAGACAGTGATGAACCATGAGCTAGTGGCGAACGATTTTCGCACATTCGCGGTCATTGCTCCATGAAAACTATGAACTGCACCTCTTTAAGTATGGACTTATCGGACATGGGGCGCTACTTTCCAACCAGCTAATGTTGATAATTAAAATATGGGTCCGAATTTCAAATAATAAATAATTGCTCGAAAAATCATTGCTGTGTAAAAACACCGAATAGTAATACTATATCTTGTTTTATGCTTAATAAACCAGATTAGTCCCCCGTCAACCGCCGGGACCTTCCTTTCCTGCGCAAGCTTTCTATCCTCCGCTATGGTCCCTTCCTCCTGTGACACCAACACCTCGTGGAAGTGACGCGTATGCAACACAATGGTGTTTCAAACAGTAGAAGGGACACAATCATGATATGACGGTAGATTTTTCGCTTCCCTTCCTCATCCTCCCTTCCTCTCTCCACTGCCCTCCAGCTGCCACTGCAGCACCATGTGGAATGAACGGAAGTGTGCTAAGCAGGTGTTTATATAGCCCTGAAGAGTGTTATCACAACTATCCTGCTACAAAACATTGATATCTCAAATCCTGTAAGCTACCCGATTTGTTAGCGGTTTGTTTATCCCATGAGCTTCCTTCTCACTCACTTCATTTTGCGGACGGACACACATACATACATACACACACACACACACATACAGATACACAAACCGACACACAAAGTTAGCGCTTTATAAAATAGAAGGATATCTCAGAGAGCTGTATCGCTTCCAGCGCTCTCAAACTTGGCGCATTCTCAACATGAAGCTCTTGTCTGTAGCGTTACATAAGGTCGATAGACTTGACCGTTAAGGAACCACTTCCACTGCCAACGATTTGAATTGCAAGTACTCATGGTAAGTATAAATAACACATGCTGGGAAAGGGCGCACTGATAACAACATTTTATTCTGATATAAGATAAGGGCGTGAACTTACCAAGCACGTGTTATACTCATCAACACTGGTATTTGGAGTTTATGAAGACGAATGGGCAGATGGAACTTTTCGAAAACTACTTATTTACTTAGTTATTTATTTGCTACCCCTGAAACGGCAGGAGCACGACCTTCAGACTTGCTGGGAAATCTCGAACGTAGATATTTCAGCAATGGTATCCGGAGTTCGATAATACCATAAAATTATGGAGCACCGGACTTCTACAATGGACCTAGGACGAGATATTTCTACAGCTAATTAAAGGATAAAGTCTGAAGCATTCAACGTTGATCAACCCCTTTTTCGAAAGCGCCACGCATTCCACTTCCATTCAAAATCTTAGTGGCATTTGAAGGGAATTTAACACATTCAGCGAGTTGAGGAGACTGGCTGATGTGATATTCAATGGTTTCATCTTTCCAGATGGGTTCGGTACCAGATAACTAATCACGGAGGGACAGAAGGTGCAGTTTAGCCGCCTGCGTTTTCGCCGGCATTTAGCCTTCGGACCGTACTCACAGTAAGCGGCGACACTTACCTATGCAGAAAATTCCTTCGGACTCATTTTAGTGCCTAGATGTCAGAGGTGGAGTGACCTTGCGACAACAATAATACGATGAGGCCACAATGTCCTATTTCTCTGAATTCTTGAAGCCTTCAGTGAACTTCCTCAGTCGAAACTAGAAAGTTTTGCTCCGTAGCGTAGCTACCATATTCTCCCATGCAGTTTCGAAGATCTACGACTGTACCGTAACTTCGATCTGGCTTGTTTTTTACGAGGGTTAACAATCTCTTCACAGTTTCTAATTCTTGGCGTCGACGCTTTGCCCAAAAGGTTTTCCGGTGGGACCAAAATGGCATTTCAATGACTTATAATAGCGAGTTGATAATAGTTTAATAACATTTTAGAATTGATAGCATTTTACATACTTTCGATGTTATTTAATGTCATATAAAATATGCGCATGTGATCCGTGTGTCCTCAAAGCCGATGGAAAATCTGTAGATCACTGGTTTTTAGGGAATGTATCGCTATGGCAGCTGAAAGCTCTTTCAAACAGCTTGAAGTCAGAGCTGGTGACGCGGCAATCACTCATCGAATTCTCGTCGTCGTTGTGAGAGTGGGAGTGAGAGTGTAAACCTTGATGTGAGAACCAATTTTTTCTTGAAAGGCAATCAATTCATACAAATTACGACTGCCTCGAAATCGATTACATTCCTACGAACTTATGGACTGTTGTATAATTATTTCATTTATGCGAAGAAACGATACGTTCAACTAGTTCTAAACCCTCACTTGGTTACAGTAACCGACAATGAGCGACTAATCTT